TTTCCCCCATAACACCCAGTTCTGCTCCCAGAAACCTGCAGGCTCCGGGCCCAGCCTGCCCTGCAGCAGGGTGCTCCGTGATGCAACTGTGAACCTGCGGCGTCCTGCCAGTGTGCACCACAGAGCCCGGCTCCTTATCAGTCCTGGGGTGTCCTTGCTTCTCCCTGGCAGCCAAGGAGCTCTCCCTTTTCACGTCTTGTATTGGTGTCCTTCTTTAGCAACAGTCCCATGGTAAAACCCAGACTCTAGCAATGACTGCTTCAGGGTGTTGCTCTCCCATAATACCCCCCAAAACCACCTTAGTATCATAGAATCATTTAGATTGGAAAAGACCTTTAAGATTTTGTGTGCAGTCCTCCCTAACACACCCAATGGAGAATGTAGAAATATCCCCATTTCTATACAAGTCCCATCCTGTTATAAGCCTGTTCCCCTCAGGACTCACTTGGCCACCCCTGATAGTGTAGGGCTATGGGAAAGCTGATTGCATAAAAGCCCTGTGCAAATCCCTTGCTAGTGTTCTGCTCATCTTATAATAAAGGCAGACTTGCCTCTTCCTGTGGTACCCTGGAGGAATGGTGACCCAGACTGGGATGGGCTGCCCCAGGAAGACTATGCTTCCCACCATGGCTTCCTTTTGTGATTCCTAATCTGTCATTCTTTCTCTGCCATGCAGTTTGCCTCCGGATCCAGATCAACCCCCAGAACAAAGGCGAGTTCCAAGGCATTTCACCGGAGCGGGCATTTGCCGATTTCCTCTTTGCCAACACCATCCTCCATCTTGTCGTCATCAATTTTGTTGGCTGAGCTCTAGAAGAGACTGTGAGGTACTGACTCATGGGGTCACAAAAGGGGCAACCACAGCTCACACAATTTCAGTACTTTTCTAGAGTTGGGAGAGAACTAGACAAATAGTGAATCCAGGAATCCTAGCTCCCAGCTTCGTCTTGGCCAAGTACAGTTAAGCTGTTGTCCTCTTAAGTTGGTACAGGGTTAGGATTTACAGCTTTCTGGTTTCGTGCGTGTATTTTTTGGCTTTTATAATTTAAAAGGCAGTTTAACTAGTGGTGTTACAGAAACCTACCCACATGTCTCTTATGAGAGAAATACCCCATTCCTCTTTGCAAGAGGGGCTTTGGGACCTGGAACTCCTGGGCTCTGTTTGTGAGGGTTGTCCTGTTTGGAGGCCATGGTATGGCTGGTGTCCATGCCTCTTGTTTCTCAGCAGATGAGAGAAGGGAGTTTGGGACAAGGAGAGTTTGGTGCTGGAAAGTGGAGGACATGCCCTGTTACTGTTGCAAAGGGCCACAAGTTCATTGGAGCTTGTGGGGTATTTCTTCTCCCTTTGCAGAAACATCGCTCATGTTGCCTTTCTCTCTTTCCAGGTCTTGAATGGGTCTTGACCTCTGATGCCAAAGCCTGGCATTGGGAAGTGCTGTTCCCCAGCAGACCTACTTCCTTGGTGGAGGAAAGGGATGCAGGGCTCAAGATTTTTCCCCACAGACTGTCCTATGGAGGGGTCTGCTGCCTCGTTACAGTTACTGTAATCTTTCCCATCAATAAAACCGTTTATAATACTGCAGTCTTTTCCCTGTTGGTGACAAATACAGAGGTTCTTCTGACACCCACGTACCTTCTCAGGCATGACTCCCTGTTTTTACCTACCTCCCTGCCTTTCTACCCAGCAGGCTTTTTTTCTGTGTCCCAGTTTCAGAGGGAAGCAGAAAACAAGTCGTCATGGAAACTCAAGTGTCATCCACCCTATTCGTCTCCCTGTTTCCTGCCTCTTTATCTTATGGACAGTATATTGCCAATGTGCCCCAGGCTTCAAAGCTGTGGAAAATTTGGGTTAGGCTGTGGTTAGCGGTCATGAACGGAAGGAAGTGGAGGGTGTCCTCCAGCACATCCCCAGGTGTACCCACCTTCCCCCAGGCCCTCCCATATCTCTCAAAGGCATGTGGGGCACAGCTGGATGTCCCAGCTGGACTTAGAGGCTCACTAAGGCCTGGTAGTGTTACAGCCACCCTACCACAGTGTTAGCTTTTCATAGAATCATAGAATCGTTAAGGTTGGAAAAGACCCTTAAGATCACCGAGTCCAACCATTAACCTGTCACTGCCAAGTCCACCACTAAACCATGTCCTCGAGCACCACGTCTACCCGGCTTTTAAATACCTCCAGGGATGGAGACTCAACCACTTCCCTGGGCAGCCTGTTCCAATGCCTGACTGCCCTTTCGGTGAAGAAGTTTTTCCAACCTAAACTTCCCCTGGCGCAGCTTGAGGCCGTTTCCTCTCGTCCTATCGCTTGTTAGTGGGGAGAAGAGACCGACCCCCACCTCGCTACAACCTCCTTTCAGGTAGTTGTAGAGAGCAATAAGGTCTCCAAATTGGACAACCCCAGCTCCCTCAGCCGCTCCTCATAAGACTTGTGCTCTAGACCCTTCACCAACTTCGTTGCCCTCCTCTGGCCACGCTCCAGCACCTCAATGTCCTTCTTGGAGTGAGGGGCCCAAAACTGAACACAGGATTCGAGGTGCGGCCTCACCAGTGCCCAGTATAGGGACACTATCACCTCCCTGGTCCTGCTGGCCACACTATTCCTGATACAAGCCAGGATGCCATTGGCCTTCTTGGCCACCTGGGCACACTGCTGGCTCATGTTCAGGCGGCTGTTTTCTTTAGTCTGATGTGCTGGTAAACCCAAGGATGTTGGAAGGGGCTGCCAAGCTGTGTCAGTGCCTCAGACAGAGCTGCACTTGAGCTGTTCTGGGTCCATGAAGAAGCCCACCCCTCAGACTTAACCTCATTGAAAATCCTTCCCCTCTAAAGCATCATGAAATGCTTAAACTCAATGGCTTTGGCCCTTGGCCATTGCCTCCTCAAGCCCAAGCGAGCTCCTGCATTGCGGTCAAATGCTTCTGTGTCCTGACAGAAAATTGGAGCCCTGTGGTGATCAGGTTATGGGCACAGGATGAGATATTAACCCCAGCTAGCCCCTCCACACCTTTGGCTGCAGAATTTACCTGGGTGACCTTCACACATGAGGCTCCATCCTTGTACTGATCCTGCTTCATGCTTATCTGGTTTGCTCTGCAGCTGTAACACTGGATAGGTAAAATGTGCGTTGAGGCTATGTGACAAAGAAATGCTTGTCTGCTGGCACTCAGGACATAAAACACGGGGTCTGATAGCTTCAACCTCTCAGCATTGGATTATGGCTCCTGTTTATTACCTTTTTCCTTTCAGCATTTCCAGCTGTGCTGCAGCCATTAAACCCATAAAAGTGTGAAACCTGGGGCTCTTAAGTCTCTTGCCTAACATAGGCTCTGCAGAATGAGGTACGAGGGAGCAGGGTCTTTACTGTCTCAAAGGGTGCTGGCTGGGTCTGTGGTAGGAACAGAGAATTCATGCCAGCTCTCACGCCACCACCTCTCTCCAGCCCCAGGCATTAAGCTGGGTTTGTTTACAATGGTACCAGCTTTGTACTGCTGGGGAGCAGGCAGGGGACTCGACAGCATGCGGGCATTATAAATGAGCCACCAAGCTCTTCCTTCCCATGAGAAGGGCTCTCTCTGAGCCAGGCCGGTGGCAGGCAGAGCCAGCATGTTCACAGGAGGAGGAACAGCCCAGGGTCTCCCCTTTGCCGCTGCGGCTGCTGCTGTTTGCAAGCTGCGGGTGCCTCCCTGTGGGTCTGCGTGACTGGGTCTCCCCACGGTTTGGCTTGAGGGAGAGCTCCAGGCTGGGACCCTCCTGTGGCCACTTCTAAGAACTGCACGAGAGCCTGGGGAAAAGGAAAAATTGGGGGGTTTCTCTGGGGTTTCTTTTCTGTCCTGATTTTTACCACCTTGCAATGCCTCTAGTTGCCATAAAGTCAGCACTAGGATTCAGGTCCTATTAGAGCTACTCTCACATCTGAATAAGCTTCAACAAGGCTGTAGATATCTTCAAGCTCTGCTCCTTATAAAGACCATGCTCAGGTCTCCTTTCACACTGTAGAAGAGGGCAAGAAGAAAGGCTGTTTCGTGTACGGGGCCAAGTTTAATGAGAGATGACAAATATGGACAGGGTATTTTCTCCAACAAAACCCCTAGAGAAGATGCAAATTCATCTCCCACCCTTAGGGAGGTATTAGGGAGCAGGAGCTGGCGTAGGGGAGAGGGTGCTAGAGATGGACCATGGCAACATAGCCTTCCCTGCCAACGTGAGAGGACTCTCTGGCCTGCCCCATCTTCCTCCCTTTTCTTTTGGGTCAGGAGAAGTGAAAGGATTTTTTCTGCATGGATTCACTGCCTCTATAACAGGTTGCAAAGGCCTATCAGCAAATTCAGAAATCTTACACACTTCTAAGATCTCTCCCCGCCACCCACCACACTTTATAAAGTATTTTCTCCCCTCTTTTCCCCTGCCTACACTATATAGCTCAGTCTTTCCTATTGTACCCAAAACAACTCCCCCCAGACCCAAGAGCAGGCTGCGGTGAGGGGGCAGGAAGGGAGGGTGCCTTAACCTCATTCGACTTTGGCTTGTGGTCTAACGTCTGCTGTTCTTTTCCACACGCTTCTCCTCCTCACTGCCACGTGCCATACCAGCCCAGCTCCCCTCACCACATGTTTTGCGCTCCACTTTCCAGAGGAAGCGGTTTCTGCGGTAGGGCGTAGAAGAGCATCAAAACATGACCCAGATCTCGATTGTGGCGTCATGGAACTGGTGGTGCATCCTCTTGCTGCCCCACCTGGGCCATGAGACCCTTCCACGTCCTGTCCTACTGTGTTATTTCCTGCCTTTGCTTTGCACTGCGGTTTTTCTTTCTCAAAATAAACAAGAAAGCGCAAAGTGGTGATGGGGGGGGGCACATTGTGCTGGTGGGAGATTGAAAACATAATATCTGAAAGTATCTTTGAACTAGACCTACAAATTCAGTGTTTTGCAGATCACATGCTAAGAGTCACTTTAGTCAAAATGTTTAACTTTATCCGTACACTCATCCCCTCACTCAGCAAATCTTATCACTGGGGTTGTTTAACCTGGAAAAGACTGAGATGCTGAAACAGAGGGAGCACCCTGTCCTTCCTCCTTGACCATGCAGCTAGGAGTGGGCTTGAAGTGCAATGCAAAAAATTTAAGACCGATGTTAGTTTTAAAAAGTGGTGCTAAATGTAAGTGAGCGTGGAAACTTTTCTTCCAGGTCCCTGAACGAATGAGGTTAATCTGTTGGAAATCTGTGAAATGCAATGACTTGCTTTGTAATTCAAATATGGTTTAGGCAGCTTCATCAAGCTGTTTCCCTGTGATGTGGCAGACCTCATCATGATCGAAATGTAAACTTCAAGAGCTGCCTGGAATCTGGCATTTAAAGAGCTGCGGGCTTTCTGCAGCTGGAGAGAAATGAGGGTGACCGTTGTGTCAAGGGAGAGACAAGAGAATGAGTCCCTAAACATCTGTACTATAAAATAATGAGGGTAATAGACCCAGAAAGTTTGAAGTTGTTCCTTGGCAGGAGGCATCGGTAACTCTCTGTCACCCTGTGACAGGCCACCTGCTAAATGGTCAGGTGGCAGCAGCATGGCAGAAGACCAGGGAGACTTTGTTGTGTTGCTGCTGAGCACTGTGGAGTCAGATCCTCTGGCAGGGATGCTGGCATGGTCTTCACACGGGGACCCTCCCACATGAAGCACCAGGGCTTTCGGCTAAAAGCATTTGAAGCATGAGCCTTTCCAAAATCAGAGTTCCTTGCAACGGCTGTGAATCCAGCAGGGTGAAAAATATCCCGTGAGCAGGAATCACCCCCACCAGTCTGGCCAGGCT